AGAAAACTTTACATGGTGATCATGACTATTTGAAAATGTAATTTTAAAACATTAAATACAAACATATAAAATTTGGTGTTTTAGATCTTTAAAAAGATGAGCTAAAAAAAAAAAATCAGCTAATTCATTGACATCCCTGCCTTTAACGAGTCCAGAGCTCAGAGTGGACAGTACCTGTGGCATTTGGTTCGGTTATCCACAGTGCTGACCCCTCTCGCCCCTTCCTGGCTGGCAAAGCCCTGCTCGCACTGCCACACTGCCTAGCTTCCATCTGCACCCTGTACCTCTAGATAAGCAGTGTATGTGGGACATATGGCTGGGAGGAAAGGTGTGGCTCGTGGCCCTGGAAAGTACCTGTCTTCAGGCAGAACACATCATCTTTTTCCCTAGAGATGGCTAAGACCAGGAGACCTTTACCTTAGTCGAAGCCAATTTAAGTGCCATCTTGCCTACCGGCAGAAGCTCTGACCGGCTGGCTCCTGAGTGTCCTGCAGGCCTAATCTTTGCTTTTGCTAGACGTGGTTTCATGGAGTTCATCAAGGGTGGTCTTTGCCCATCTTTCCAGTCTGCAATTTAGACTTCACATCTTTCAACTGGCAATCCATGACAGAAAACCCACTGCATAAAAACTACAGAGGGTGTGTCAAGGTGTTATTTTGAGTTCTCCATCTATAAAATCTTGTTTCCGGCATAGGGCAATGGTAAATGAAAGTATACACACACACACACACACACACACACACACACACACAGTCTATATTATATAACATACATATCATAATTATAACATGTATATAGTATGTATTCAGAACGAGAACCTCAGGAAAATGATTCTCTGTGACAAAAACAGGAGAGTTGTAACAAGGACGTCCCTCAGCTAAGAAGACGCTACACAGACGGTATCTTTCCACAGCCCAATTATAGAAATCTATGTCAGATTGTAACACAACTGAATATCAACTAAGTTCTGAAAGTAAACCATCTACCAGAAGTCCCATACTTCTATAATATGAAATGGTTAACCGAGAACAGGGTTCTCAAGGTATGGGCTCAGAACCAGCATCATCTGGAAACTTGTTAGAAATGCAAAGTATCAGGCTGCTCACCAAACCTACTGAATCAGAAGTTCCTGGGGAGGCCCCAGAAATCTGTTTTTAAAGCCCCGGGTGATCCTGATGCATGGTAAAGTTTGAGAACTGTAGGTTCAGATCTCAAGACAACTCACCCGGACTTTACCTTGTTGGTTAGGGGGGAGACGAAAGGAGCAGGAGTACAGTAGTAAGCAATCATAAGGTGTAACTCAAAGAGGAAGAAAAAGAGCCCTGCCTCCTCCCCCACCTGGCCTCAGAAGTATTCTGATTTCTTAAAATCAGAGCAACCTCTTTCAGTTAAGATACAGTCACTAAAAAGCCAGTATGCCCATTAATATGCCAACACTTCTCATTTATCTTACTCCTCAGTGGTCACTCGACAGATAACCAGAAAGGAAGGAGAGCATAATGTGGCATATCATGTGACAAGTCAGGCCTAACATGGAGCAGGGGAAGGAGAGTCACAAGCCCTCATCGTAAAGGGATGACAGACAGGTCCAGGTGGGACCCTACCATGAAGGGACTCTGGAAAGGCAATGATGCTTTCAGCAGACAGAGAAAGCGATGCTCAGAGGAACACTTCATCATCATTACTGTCTTCAGCAGCACTTAACTATCAATTAGCTGAGAAGATGGTCTTCCCCTGGCTTCTTAGAAACAGAACACCCTCCAAACTGGAAAGGTCACCGTTTGCTATCGATTAGCATCCTCTACCCATTTTATACATACATGTGACACACATTCAGGATAAATGTGGAAGAGTATAAATGTAGGACTCCCTCCCGTGCCCCCTTATTACAGCAGCAACAGTACTTCCTTAGGGCAAAAATCAACACATTCAGATCCTGACATTCACAAGCACCAGTTACAGAACTTACAGCAGACCTGATATGTCTTTACAACATTCCCCCATGTTTTATTTACAGGGCACGCAAGTCAGGCATTTTCCCAACACATGCATTAAAAAGTGTGACATTAATGTTTAAAAACTTTGTGGGAGGACTTCATGACTACAACACTATTTGAAAGCACACAATTTTATATTCAACAAATATAAATCCAACGTGAAAACCTGTTTTCTCAGAGCACCATCACCATCCAATAGGCATGCACCCATTTTTATTCCACACTGTACTTCTCCAAGGCTCTCTGCATGCCTTTTAAAAACTCAACTGAGAGTAAAACTCCATTGAAGCCAGTTTTTAAAAATTATGACGGAAACATGACTTAAAATGTAAGATGGAGATGTGGCAATTAAAGTTTATGTACAAGCTGCCACAAGAAAAGCACAAGTCATTGATTCCTTGAAGGACTCCTCTATGGGAGCAAATGTCATATGCAACAGTTCTATCTTGCTATGCTCTGCCAGTTGACAGGTGACATTTTAACCTCTAACCAACCATAGCAAGACAATTCAAAATTAAGGTTGACACTTTGTCCTTTAACTAGTTCCAAAGTACTGCAGGGGTTTTACTGCCTGATGTTACACCATATGTGCAAACTCTAAACACAGCAGGCAGGGTTAAGCAGGACGCCTCTGTACTTTACCATTCTTCTGCTTCCTGTTGTTTTTGGAGCAACTCTAACTTTAGCTAAACATAACCCTTCTGAGTGAATCATTTTTAGTAAGCGAATCCGCCTTATAGCAGAGTACGCTGCATGTTGACTGTATTTCTGAAGCACGGCCACCTACAGAATTCAAAGAACTCACCAGCTTGGTATTTTGCAGTTTTTAATGAAACCCACTCACTTTATGAAACACTTCATAAAATAAAATTATGTATCACTTAAGTTTTTATGTATAAAACCCCAAACAATTATGAGATGAATAATGGAAATAATTATTTTTGAGGCTGTTTTTCAACTCGTCTACCATTAAACAATAGTGATGAATGGCAGATTTTTCAGAACCTAGTCCATAACTCAGGTTATTTTCTCATTTCAAATTTACTATTAACTTGAATAATGGGATGTATTTACTTACTTGTGCTCTCAAGAGGTCTGAATCAGAAAAACCTTTTAGGTCTTACATTCATAATTATTTTTTACCAGGTAGGAGAAAGATATATGAGAAATGAGAGAATACCAACTGCTAATAATAAACTATGTCCTAGCTTAATGTCAGTGACTCTTGCCAAGCAGAGTTCATGAAAAGCATGTACAAAGGGAGAAAAGGTCCATTTAAAAATACACATAACTTCCCCAGTGATCTTTCCCTTTGAGTTTTCTGTAAGACAGAGCATTTAGCTCTATATTATTCCAAAAAAATCTATACATCACTTACAGAGGGAAGCATAAATCTCATGGGTCTCAGATTCACTTACTGTTGCCTTCCTTCATTACACATTTAAAGATAATCAATAAAAACTGATTTCTCTTTGTATTTTCCTGTTCTGCCAGAAATAATAGCAGTCCCTGCCCTAAAATGAAGGAAAAATGGAAAGTGATATTTACCATAAGCGGAGAAAAAGAAACTGCCTATGCATTTTTCCTGAGCCAAGTGAAACACAAACAGCAAATCAAGTTTAACCTTAAAGAAAAAAAATTTTTTTTTAAATACTCCTGGCATTAATTCTATTTCTGAAATCTGTGGTATCGAAGAATTTTCAAATTCTGTATTTATATCTCAGCTTTCAACAACTTCTTTGTGTTTTCTAATCATTTTACTTTACTTCTATGTAAATGTATATATTACATCCAGTAGAGGAATAAAGAACCGCAAACAACTCTTGTCATTTATTTTAAAACACAAACCTTCTTTGCCCCTTGCCTTTTTAGTGCAAGGATTTTCTTATTCAAAATGTTACCTGAAAGCATTGTATCAAATAACCCACAATCATCTGTTGGGGTTCCTCCAATATACAGAGCCTACCCGAGAACTATCCATTTTAATTTTTTTCTTCTTCTTCTGTATTCTTCACAAGACTGTAAGAAAACCCCAAATGGAAGAGGAACAGACTTTTACTTTGTAATGAAGTTACAAATACATTTTTATATGTTTTCCTGGCTTCCTATTTCCCTTCATTCTGTGCTATCCGCAGGTTGTCATATTTTAGCAGGGTGGACTATAAATCAGACAAGTTCAACCCGTCAGTTTGAAGAATGGAGGTGAAAAGCACAGTGGAAAATATATAAAGTATAATTAAAACCATATGACCAGAGATATTGAAGTAATACTTGTTGGAGGAAACCCAAATAGAAATCAAACCTTTTCTGGTGTTAGTGAGACTCTCCAGTCCATCTGGGACAAGCACACAGTATTTGCTTTTTTTTTTTTTTTTTTCCTTCACAGGAAGAGCATCCAGGGAAGTTAAATCCTAACAAGATAATTACGCCTATAGCTGTATTTGTAAGCATAGTGAAATCTACACTCGTTCATGTAAAACTGATCTCTCATTTAAAACAGTAGTCATTTATTTAGAAATATAGTTTAAGACTGGGCAAGGGTCAATTTTACACCTGCCAAAGAGAATTAAACGCTTATAACAGCAATGTTGAATCAAAGATCTTTTCTACTTCATCTCTAAAGACCTGAAGACGCCAGTAAGACACAGATAATCTAATTGCTTACTGTTGAACAAGAAGAGCAGGAAGTCATAAAATCTAAACTATCATTTAAACAGTCTCAATGTTACTGCCTCATATAGGTTGTCCTTAGCAGGCCAATGATGTATATATGTCTAAGGAGGGTCAGAAATTAAGATCTCTTGAAGTTGTAAAACAGTTCCGATAAAAAAAAAAAAAAAAAAAAATCTTGACTTTGGCAGGCTATCTCCAAAGCTATCCCATGTCTCTTTCTCCAGAGCATTACAAGTGCCAATTATAAGGATTTCTGCAGACAACTGGAACATAATTTTCAATACTGCTCTGGGATTCCAGTAATCAAGTCAAATCGAACAAGTCACTTACCCCCCAGAAACTGAATTCCTCCAGCCACTCTTCCCACGGTCCTCGAGATGAGCTCCGACACACAGCAAGCCATGAGGGCAGTGAGAGCCACCAAGAGGAGGAGGCCACAGCCCAGGCCTGTCACGATGGTACAGATCCTCCATTCTGCACTGGGGATGCCCTGGAAGGAGGCATAGCGCCCACATTCCTCTACCATCACCATCATCTGCCGGCTCTCATCATGCACAGGGTAGGAGCACCTCCGGAAAGTACCAAAGGACACAGCCTTGCCCAGCTGTGACCCCCAGAGCCAGTAAGGCATAAAGAACCCCACACAGGAGGTGGCAGCACAAAGAAAGGAGAGCAAAGCCCAGATCACCCCGGTACAAGTCAGGCTGGATGCCATGTTTCAACAGATAGGGCAAAGAGGACCCAAAGTAACTGTTCTGGGATTGCAGGAGTGAGTGAAGGTGTGCAACCACCGGGGAACGGCAGGCAATCCACAGTTCTGTGATGCGGGCAGGGGTGTCTAGGAACAGAATGGATCTTCAATCTTACTGGCCATCAACTTCCCATCCTCTGTAGTAAAGATGATGGTCCCTGGCAAAACAATGATAAACATTAGAAAAGTTAAAGGTCTTTAGAGAAGCGACACCACCAGTTCAGTTGGTCTGCAGCTGTTCATTAATAAAACGTCCAAACTTGCCTCAACACTTCAGAAGCGGGAAGAACTAATTCTCTCTGTAAACTTCTCCACAGTCCAGGTTTTGTCAAAGTAGCTCAAAGCCTTCTCAAGCCTCTATGTCCTATAAATGCTCCCAGATTAACTCTGACAGCTATTTACTTAAAGAAATGCATGGCTTCTATTTGCCAAGTCAGTGAATTCGTTTCGCATGCTCGCGGTAAAAGTAATGTAGCATTTTTACTGCCAGTAAACATAATTCCAAATATTAAAATAAAGTGAACCATACCATGGTTTGTTTATTTGGCTTGCAAGTCCATGTTCCTAACTTGTAGCAACTTTTCCGTGTCCCTTTAGGTGCATTCACTGTGCATGAGCCCGAAGAAAATAATTAGGGCGGTCCTCGCGATTGCAGAGCACCGTGAATTCAGCAAATGCTTCGGGCCGTCCGGGCTCCCAGCGCGGACGGACGGAGCTACTGGGCGCTCGCTGGGCTCGTTCAGTGGTCTGTGTGGATTCCTTCCTTCCGTCTTTACCTTTCCGCTAGTGTCAATGAAACAAAGCCCAGGCGTGACTTCCTTCTGATTCGTTGGCTCCAGCAGAATTGCTAGGCCCGTGTCTCCCGCCGAATGACCCCGCGTCTAGTCTGAAAAGTAGCCCGGCTCCCGGGGCTCCGCCTGGAGCTCACCCGGCCGAGCGCGCACGGGCTCCCCGCGGGCTGCCCCCGCCCCTCTCCGCGGGGAAGGTCCCGAGCGGTCCCGCCGGCCTCCGCAGGGAGGAGCGCGGGGCCGAGCCCTGCCCCCGGGCCCCCGGGCCCCGACTGCCGCTCCTGCGTGCCCGCAGCCGGGTCCCTGTCCCTCGGCTCCCCCGCCCGGCCCTCGCCCCTACCGTCTCCTCTCCACCCGCCGCCGTTTCCAGTCCGGCGCGTCCCTCCCGGGCAGCTTCCACCACTTTTTTCTTCTTTGAATCCTGCCCACCGCGGCCGGCGTCGGCGGCAGCGGAGGAGCTCGGTGGGCCCGGCCCGGGGCTGGGGGGCGCGGGCGCGGGCGCGGAGGGGCGGGCGGCGGGGAGGGGAGGGGAGGGGGGAGCGGGGCCGCGGCTGCAGCTGGGGGGCCGGGCGGGGCGGGGCGAGCCCAGCGTGGGCCCCGGAGGGGCGGGGAGGGGCGGGGGGCGCGCAGCCCGGCTCCGGGGGTCGGAGCCCGCGCAGCCCGAGCCGCGGCGGGGACCCGGAGCGCGGAGCGGACCGCGCCGGCGCCTACTCGCGCGGCTGGCGGCTGGCGGGCGGGTCACCCACGGCGCCCGCAGCGCCCCTCCTCGTCGCCGCTGGCCCCGCGGCCGAGGGCGGAGGGCGGCGTCCGGCCGGAGGGGCAGGCTCTCCCGCGGCGGCTCGGCGGGGCGCGGGGGCCACGCGCGGGCCGCGGAGCTCCCCCTGGCAGGCGGGGCGCGCGCCGCCCCTCCCCTCCCCACCCCTCCCCCCGTCCCCTCCCCCTCCCCCTCCCCTTCTCCGCGGCCGGCGGACGGCGACCCCCGCGGGCAGGGCGGGAGGCGCGCGGACCCACAGGTGGGGCCCAACCCCGCCCTCTCGGCGCTCCCGGGCCGGGCTCGGGCTCGGGCTCGGCTCGGCTCCGGCGCCCGCTTGCTGCCGGGGGCTGCGGCGCGGAGGAAGGGGGCCGGGGCGCCGGGGAAGCGGCCCTCGGGCCCGAGGACAGCCTGCGCCGTGGCCCTTGCAAGGAGCGCGCAAGGCCGGTGCGCGGAGAGGCGGCGGCGCGGGGCCCGAGGGGGCGGGCAGGAGGCGGCAGCCCGCGAGCCCCCGGGGACGCCCCGGAGCCGCCCGAGGGTCCCCACCCCACCCCCACCCCCTCCCCGCACCTCCCCATCCAGCCACCCGCAATCAATACCGCCGCGAGATTTCTCTCTCTCTCTCTCTCTCTCTCTCTCTCTCTCTCTTTCCTTCCTTCCTTTCCGCTTGCCCCTTGCGCTTACCGTCTCCGGAGTCCAGAGCTGCGGGCAGGACGGGGACGGGACGGGGACGGTGCGAGGCGGCGGAAGACCGTGTCCTAAGAATCCCGCCATCTGGGAATAGCAACATGCGAAGCAGACACTTCCCCAGAGGAGTGTGTGAAGTGTTTTTTTTTTTTTAAGTAGTTGAAAGTAATAAATGCATAGGTATGAATAACATTTCATAGTAAATAGCATCATTTCAGTTAGCCATGATTCTGTGCGTTGTTCCCACAACGACAGCTGGAGATGTGTGTTCTCTCATTATCCCATGGAAAGGATTTCAGTAATCCGCCCCAACCCTTTTGAGGTCATATAGAACTTTTTAAGAATATGCAGAGACTGATAAGCCTCTCAGAAAAAAAAAAAACAAAAACCACACACATATACATATTAAGCTTTATCATAGTGGTTCCCAAAGGAGAGACGGGAGGTGATGCACCCCAGGAAACATCCGGCAAGATCTGAAGTTTGTTGTTGTTGTTGTTGTTGTTTTTGATATTTGGTTTACTTATTTGAGAGAGAACATGTGAGAACAACGTGGAGCAGGGAAAGGAACAAGCAGTGTCAGCACTGAGCAGGGAGCCCAGCCCAGGCTCAATCCCATGACCCCGAGATCATGACCTGATGGGCTCAAATACTCAACTGACTGGGCCACCCAGGTGCCCCTGGCAAGGCTTTGATTATCATGAGGAGGGAGGTGCTACTAGCATCTAGTGGATAGAGGCCAGGGATGCTGCTGAACACCTTAAAATGCACCAGACAACCCCCCATAGGTACCTAGCCCAAAATGTAAATAGTGCTGAGGTTAAGAAAACCTGTTTCAGTGAAATGTCAGGTGGTTCCCTGTTCCCCTGTGGCCCATCCACCAGGTTCAGAATCCCTGATTCAAGTGATTTAAATTGTCTCATACAAATCGCTGGTTACTGAGCTCCGCGGTGGTGCAAATGATGGGTCTGACTTCCAGTTATGTACCATGCCCTTAGTTATTACCCAGAGCCTTCAGATCTATATAATGTGAAGGTAGAAGATAAAACCATATAAAGACAAAATTACAATCATGAGATTTGGACAGCCTCCACACAACCTGCTGGGGAAATTGGTCTGGAACATTTTTCAAGCTTGGGGAAGTTTTAAGCACTGAGGTAGATGGCTGGGATGACATCTTTGCTGTGTCAATCCCTACACTAACTTTCCTCAGATTACTTTATCTAGTCCTCAAAAAGGAAGGGGAAAAAAGACTATGAAGGAGGTGTAATTATTATTTTACAGAGAGGTTAAGTACTCTGAGAACTTACAGCTAAAATGTGGGCTTTAAAATAACTCATTATCTGATTTCTACTAAATAGAGTAAAATCCTACTGGAGAGATTCTGCCTAAAATGAAACAGTAGACGAAGAGGTTGAATTTTTTAAAAGGTCTATTAGGATGCAATATCAAGGGATGCCTGGATGGCCCTTTGGCTCAGGCATGATCCTCCAGGATCGAGTACCACATAGGCTCCCTGCATGGAGCCTGCTTCTCCTGCTGCCTATGTCTCTGACTCTCTCTGTCTCTGTCTCTCTCTCTCTCTCTCTCTCTGTCTCTTGTGAATAAATAAATATTTTTTTTAAAAAAAAAGATGCAATATCAACATTTGTTAAAGTATAGTGTGTTATATGCTAGGACCCAAATTTCTAAATTAGATGAATGAATTTGGACAAATGGTGACCCTCCCAAGCCTGAGTTCTTTCATTTATAAAAAGAGACTGTAATAGATGTTTTTTAAAATTGTATTTGGGGGGGAGGGGCAAAGGCAGAGAGAGAGGGAGAGAAAAAAATCTCAAGCAGACTCCATGCTGAGCACAGAGCCCAAGTAGGGTTTGATCTCATGACCCCAAGACCATGACCTGAGCAAAAAACAAGAGCTAGACACTCAACCAACTGAGCCACCTAGGTACCTCTGTAACAGAAGGTTTTTAACATTCTTCTAGCCCATAGCACTATTGAGAAGGAGTCTAGGAATCACCTGATTTTTTTCAAGTACATTTTACAGATGAGGAAGCAGAGGCTCAGAATCCTTCTAGTGTGTTAACCAAAGCTGAGTCTAGAATCCATGTATTCTGATTTCTCTTCTCATTCCACCATGTAATTATCTTTCCAAACTACAAAATCTTTTGAATTACTCCTTGGGTTCTTACATGTATACTTTATAGGCAAAATGCATTATAATATCTTTAAAACCCTTGTATTAAACTTGCAACTTCAAAGGATCTTTAAATTATTTCCCAACCAGAAGTTCCCACATAGCAGAATGCTGCTCCTACCTCTTATTCCAAGTTTGAGTTTCTAGTGTGTAGGACAGTAGTCCCATTGAGTCATAAGATGAGATCATGTAGCTGTAAGGCATCTATGGTAACACTCCTGGTTGGCCATTCAAGATTAATTCCCAACTCCTTCACCTTGTTCACTAGGTAAATACCTCCCTTTCAACCTCTCCTAAAGCTAGTGGTGACCCACATGACCCTTGTAGCCAATAAGTCTGCCGAGGAGGCCTCTAGGGAAGATTGTATTCTCTGATAAAAGAGAATGGCTGTCTTTGGACACATTCTTGAAGGATGATGTGTTTGGAGCTGTGGCAGCCTTCTTCAATCATGAGGGGAATCACAGAGACATAATCCCAGCACCCTAACATGGTGGGGCCACACATCTCCTTTTAAATTTCTTAAAAGCAAATTATAGATTGTTAAAATGGTTTAAATTACTGTTATTTGAATCTTCTGCTTGTCACCAGTGAAAGCATTCCTGATCGATAAAGCACTGTCCAGATAAGACATATGCTCAGTGACAGGGAACACAGAACTGTACCCATGTGCTTCGCTGTTAAAGATAAAGATCCAATAACTGAACATTACCTGAGAGAATTAATGAACAAATCAATATCATTGTGATTATTATTCTTGTTCCAGTACAGCCTACAGAGTGCATATTTAATTTTTTTAAGATTTTTTAAAAATTTATTTATTCATGAGAGACACAGAGAGAAAAAGAAAGAGAGAGAGAGAGAGGCAGAGGGAGAAGCAAGCTCCATGCAGGGAGCCCAACTTGGGACTCGACCCTGGGTCTCCAGGATCAGGCCCTGAGCTAAAGGCAGCAATAAACCACTGAGCCACCTGGGCTGCCCGCATATTTAATTTTTAAACAAATATGATATGTTATGTAAAATTAGGGAAGGAGTATGATAGTTGGATAGAGGAAACACCATGGAATCAATCACTTCTGACCATTGGGGAAAGGTTGGATAGGAAACCTCTCAGTTGACATTTGTGATAAAAGCTACAGTTTGGGGACACCTGGGTGGCTCAGCAGTTGAGCATCTCCCTTCAACTCAGGGCGTGACCCTGCGGTCCTGGGATCGAGTCCCACATTGGGCTCCCCGCAGGGAGCCTGCTTCTCCTGCCTGTATCTGTGCCTCTCTCTCTCTCTCTCTCTCTCTCTCTCTCTCTGTGTGTGTGTGTGTGTGTGTCTCTCATGAATAAATAAATAAAATCTTAAAAAAAAAGCACAATTTGGCTAATACAATGCCTGTTTCTTTTTTTTTTTTAAGATTTTATTTATTTATTCATAGACACAGAAAGAGAGAGGCAGAGACACAGGCAGAGGGAGAAGCAGGCTCCATGCAGGGAGCCCGATGTGGGACTCGATCCCGGGTCTCCAGGATCACACCCCAGGCTGCAGGCAGCGCCAAACCACTGTGCCACCAGGGCTGCCACAATGCCTGTTTCAAAGTACATTCTTCTAACTCTTTCTCTCCAATAGAAGCAGTGAAAGCTAAAATCTCCATTCCCCAGCCTCCCTTGAAGTTTGAGTGGCCAGGTGAC